CACATGCCATCAGCATCATAGGCTAGCTGCCAGAATTCCTGGTGTCGCCTTCAGAGACAACAATGTTGAAAGTCTGTATCTTCCCAGTGTGTTCTTAGAAGCAAGAAACCTTTCTCAGAATTTACCCCCTACTGCCCCCCAAAGGCAACTCTTCCCTTCTATTTTCATTTTCAGGGTTGGCTCACATGCCCACTTCCAAACTAGAGACCACTGGGAGAATGGAATTACCACGACTGGCTTAGACTAATCATTTTGGAGAGAAATGGATGAGTCAACCAGGGAAACTACGAGATAAGAAGCATCTATGTATATCAAACTAGGGGGAAGGAGAGCCTACCGAGAGGCGGTGACACATGAGGTCTTAAACAATGAGTAGGAGCCATCTGGGTGCAGAAGCATGTTCCAGAGAGAGGCAAGTCTGTGCAAAGGCATGGAGGCATGATAGAGCATGACACATTTGGGCACCTCTAATAGATGGGGATGGTGGCAATGTGTCGGGGGAGAGGAGTGCTTTTTATACTACGCTGAAGAGTTTAAATTTTATCCTGAAAGGCGTGAAAAACCTTTCAAAACGGGGATTCATATGACTAATCAGGCATTTAAAAATGATTGTTCTGGCAACAATTCAAAAGGAGCCAGACTGAGGTCAGGGAAACCAGTGAGTGGCATGCTGTTGAGAAGTGGTAAGCGTTGGGGGGAGGGGGCAGGGAGTGCTCTGAAAGTGAACGTGGTGGCAGAGTTTGTCGAAGTTGGTGACAGGTTAGGTGTGGGCAGTGAGTGAGAAGTTTTGGCCAACCGTTGGACTGCTGCTGTGGGTAGAAGTTGGTGCCATTTACTATATAGTAAGGGGTAGAGGAGGCAAACGCTGTGGTGGGAGATAGTGTTTGGTTTTGGACACGTTGAGGTGGACAAGTCCACACACAGGTGTGTGGTGAGCCTGGAGCTCATTGGAAGGTTCTGAGCTGAGATGGGTCAGAGATTCAGTAACACGTGTTTCTCAAACTAAGTCAGGTTCTAAGTTCTCTGGTCAAATAAACTTGGGAAATACTGAGTTAAATTAAGCAACACTGGTTTTTTTCTCTTAAGGACCTCTCAGACATTTTAATATGTAAATAGTAATGTTACGAGTGTTTACCATGTGCTGACTACTTCACACGTTAATTTATGACTCCCCTCTGCACAATATCCCCACAGGGTATGTCCTGAATTCTTCCCATTTTATAGATTTTGCTGAACAGAGCAATTAAGTAACTTGTCCAAGATCACATGACAAATAATACAAGACCAGGATTCAAATCCAGAAAGATAATTTAAGAACTTGTACTTTTTAAAAAAATTTCAGCTTCACTGAGGTATAATTGACAAGAAAAATGGAAAGACATTTAAAGTGTGCATTGTGGCAATTCGCTATACAATGTGAAGACATCCCCCCCACCTAAAATTAGCACATGCATCACCTCACATGTTTATCCTTTTTTTTTCTTTTTTTGGTAAGAATATTT